ATGCTTAAGTCCAAATGGTCGTCTTTACCTATCAAGAAATGTCTTTTTTCATGAGCATGAGTACCCTTTTGCCAATGGCTTTCTCACATCCAAATCTGCTGTCTCACCCACTCATCCTCCAACCATTGTATACTTTCCTCAATTTTTAGACTCCAATAATCCTATCTCGATGTCCTCTATGTCAATGGCAGTAATCAACTTGTGGACTCTATCTCAACACAATCTTTTGGGACACCTCTTGCTACTCCAACGACCTCACAAGCAGATCACGGTATGTCTTTTACTTTACATGATTTATCATCTCCTACTATCACTGCTCCCATTACAACCTCACCTACCCCTTCCTCCCCTCCATCTCCATCTTCACATACCTCCTCTTCAGATGTTGCCACACAAACTACACAACCAACAAATGCACCCATTTCCACCCATCCCATGCAAACTCGAAGTAAAAGCGGCATTTTTAAACCCAAAACATACTCTGTCACAACAATTGCACCTCCCTTACCAACATGCTATGTTCCAACAGAACCAACGACAGCAAAGATTGCACTACCATATCCGAAGTGGAAACTAGCCATGGATGATGAATTCAAAGCTTTGCAAACTAACAAAACTTGGAGTTTAGTTCCATTTCAGGATGATACGAATCAATTTGTGACCAATTACAAGAAGCAAAGCAAAGAAGATTCAAGAGGCTTTCATATTACATCTTCAAAGGCTAGCTAATGCACACGAGGAGACAAAGATTTCTGAGGCCAAAATTCTTTACAATGTTAATTTAATGAGTCAAGAAGAGAAAAGCGCCTCCTACATGTGATTTCCAAGACAATTTAAAGCAATTCTACGTTTTTGGATTCACATTTAGTTATCTAGTTTGATGTGCAATCATGTTTTAATTTGCATGTCTTATTTTCTACAATTTGCATTAAATAGGATTTGAAAGACTTTTGGTGTTCCTCATGTTGAACGACCCTTTGGCCTATTTAAAGGCTTGTAATCACCTTGTTTTGGCAGATTAAACATATTGAAATTCAAGAACTTTTGTTCCTTAACACTTTTGGTGTTACTTCTTTCAAATCTTGCTTTAGGTTTGATGTTAAACCGATTCATTAGATTAGTCTCGATCAAGCTAATTCTGGAGTGAGTCGTCTTAGGATCTAGGAGTGACCATCGTAGATTCTAAGTCAGATCTAAGAGTGATTCATCTTCTAACCTTACTCTTGGTTGGAATCATTCGGTAAGTTAGTCGTTTTTGTGAATGTTTGCAAGGATCCTAGAAGGACCTCTAGCTTTGTAAATCCGAGCAACCTTGGCGCTTATCACAGGATTCCATGCATATTGTAGGATGCAGATGTGTTTTCAAGACAAAGCTCAACTCAGATGGCACTATTCAGCGGCACAAGGCACGTCTTGTTGCCAAAGGCTTTCATCAACAACCTGGTGTTGATTTTAGCGAGACTTTCAGTCCCGTCTCTAAAGCCTCAACTATCCGCATAATTCTATCTATTGCCGTTCACTTTGATTGGCCAATCAGACAACTAGATGTGAACAATGCGTTCTTGAATGGTTTTCTTCAAGAAAATGTCTACATGCAACAGCCCGAAGGGTATATTGACCCGCGGTTTCCCAATCATGTCTGCAAGCTTCATAAAGCTATTTACTGTTTAAAACAAGCACACGGGCTTGGTATGATCATTTGAAACATTTCCTTCTAAGTTGGGGATTTCATTACTCTCAAGCTAACACTTCTCTCTTTTATTTGCATCATGGGATTGATATATTACTTGTCCTTGTATATGTGGATGATTTTCTTGTGACAGACAACAAAAGTAATATGATCTCCTCATTTGTTAAGGCTCTTAGCAATCAGTTTTCACTTAAAGACCTCAGGCCCCTACAATACTTCCTCGGTATTCAAGTCTTTCGATCCTCCGGTGGCATATTTCTCAACCAAAGTAAATACATTTCTGAACTTCTCCACCAATTTGGGTTTCAAAATCTTAAACCTGGCCCAACTCCAACAAATGTCAGCACTTCCCTTTCTGCTTTCTCTGATGAGTCTCTTCAACACCCTACTGAATATAGAAGAGCCATTGGTGCTCTTCAGTACCTAACTCAAACTCGCCCTGACATCTCGTTCATATTCAACAGACTTAGCCAATACTTTCAACAACCTACAGACCAACATTGGCAAGCCGTAAAGAAGGTATTTCGATATTTAAAAGGCACCATTTATCATGGACTTCATCTTCGCCCAGGCAACAACTTGAACATTACTACCTACTGTGATGCTGACGGGGTGTCCAACCCTAACAACTGACGATCTGTCTCATCGTACTGTGTCTTCATTGGCCCATCCCTTGTCTCATGGCCTTCCAAACTACAGTCCACTGTTTCACGCTCAAGTACAGAGGCTGAATATCGGGCTCTTGCAAATGATACAGCTGAAGTTCTCTGGATCACCTCTCTACCCAAAGAACTTCGTCTTCAATCATTGTCCGGTAGCTTGGTGTGACAATCAAAGTGCCATTGACCTTGCTAAGAATGTCGTGTTTCATGCTTGTCGAAGCATATTGAGCTAGATGTTCATTTTATCCGTGACAAAATAGCCACCAAGCAAATTGATGTTTGATATGTGCCTTCTCGTGACCAATTAGCTTATTGTCTCACCAAACCGCTTGCTACATCTCATCTTCATGATCTACATTCCAAACTTGGGATAATTCCATCACCCATACGTTTGAGGGGGGATGTAAGAACAAGTGGCTAAATGAGGTTGTTCCACCAAGCAGTAGTACAAAGTGCATATATAGTAAATATCTTTTATTTCCTTCCAAATGTAATCCCGTTAATATGCCAGCTTATTGCCTCCTTAATTATTGGCCACGCTTGATGGTCAATGATTTTATTCTCTCATATTTGTATTATTCTTCTCTATATAAATATGTACCAATCTCTCTAATTGTGATATACAGAGAGTATTCACCATATTGCTCCATATCTTCTCTGTTAATAACTGTAAACTAAAAACAAAATTATTATAAAACAAAATCTTAATCTACAAGATATAATAAACAATTCATGAGTTATGACACCTAATTTTTAATAGACCATAAGTTGTAAGAAATCATATTTCCTAAGACTTAGGGAAGTAGTGGTAGAAAAAGCCAATAAACCAACCCAAGCTTAGCTGGATCTAATGTGCCACCTCCTTTTTTTTCTTCTTTCATTACAAAGTCAAATATTTAAAAATTATTACCATCTTCTTAATCTCTCTCTCTCTTTTTTTTTTCTTTTTTTTATATAAATGATTTTGTGACATTRTAAGAAAATTTTCCCCAACTTTAGTAAATTTTGTACATAATTTTTTATTTATTTACTTAGTTACATTTTTTGTTATCATTTGTTTAATAATGCCTTATCCATGAAAATCTTCTTAAATGATTGAAAATCAAGTTGTACAAGCAATCTTGGAGGATTTTAAGTCATGAATAGAATTTTTAGAGTTGTAAATATAACATAATAAACCAAAGTTTTAAATGTTTGATGGAAATGTTCAAGTCTTAATTGTCGATGAAATATTAGATGTTGATGTTGATGTCGACGTCGATAGGTATTTTTTGAAAAATTATAAAATTTTTAAAATTAACACAAACATTTTACCATTTTAAAATAGGTTTAAAATTCTCATTATTAATATTAGTGGTATATTAATGATATTTTGTTAATATATTCATAGTTGATTTTTTTTACAAGGAAACTATTGATTCATCCCGGTAATAAACTCCAATATTATAACAATACTAACTATTTTTTTTTTTTTTGGATTCGAACCCATGACCTTATATGGTCGGAGATATATACTTTAACTAGTTGAGCCAAACTAAAGTTAACAATATTAACTTCAAATAAAGTTGTAAATATCGGTACAATGCATTTTTTAATCAGTGGATGTTATAACTATCTCAATGTTAAATTATAAATTTATTCCCTAAGCTAATTTCATGGTCGTAGAACATTCAATTTTGTGTCTAATCGGCCCCTGATCTTTTAAACACTKTTAAAGAGACTTATAAGAATTAAACTTTGAGACACTATTTAAAATTTAGACATCAATATTGAAAGTTAAAAGGAGTTCATTAGATTATATTAAAGCTAAAAAATGTATTAGATACACTTGTTAAAACTTTATCTCAAGTAACATATACTTAAACTAATTATAGATAAAGTATTACTACAAAAAGCAACAAAAAAAAAAGAAAAGAAATTATTATTGTCAAATAAATCAGAGAGTGACTATTTTCTTCAGAGAAATGTCATACTTGTTGAAATAAATTAGTTATAAAATGGCATATTTGCAAGTAATTAACAAAGAGGTCATCCAGTAAAATTTATAAAATAAATTTAACTTTAAAAAGCATCTAGATCAAAGTGAAAATCAAATAACATTATTTTAACTTCTATTTGAATTTATGTCTTATATTTTTAAATAGAAAATATTATATTTTATTTCTTATAATTCCAAATACTAAATCTTTTTGAATCTTTATTCTCAAAATTTATTCATGACACCTGACTTATTATGGCCAATTATTTCATGTGGCTTCAAAATTACAATTCAATTGATGCTATATAATTCTTCAATTAAATGAAATATGAAATTTCAATAATAAATATAAAATAGGTCTTTTGTATGAAAATTAAAGATCAAATCAAATATATTTAAAAATAGATTTAAATACTAATTTTTTCAAAGGATTTAAATATTATTTTGATCCATGTACTATTTGCTTTCACTAAATCTTTCAAAACGTTTATTTTGGTCTCTTTCACTAAATCTTTCAAAACGTTTATTTTGGTCTCCAAACTTTCAAGCGTTTTATTTATTAAGTTTTTTAAAATGTAACCACATAAATTTGTATTAAAAAATTTTAGAAACTAAACTTACCAGGCCCAAAAATATTAATTCAAAAAGTACGGGAATTAAAATTGTATTTAAAACCTTAAAAATATAATGAAAGAAAAATAAATGTTACGATTTACGCATACACTTGCACCACTAATATTTAAAAAAATAATTTGGATCCCAGTGCAACCCCACCCTATTGAATTTGGAATTTTTATACTAATTTTCATTTATAAAATGAAAAAAAAGAAATGAACAAATTGATTCAACTCTGAAGCTGCGAGAAAGTTGCGCTACGTTTTCGAAATAAGACAATGCCCGTGATTTATCACACTCTGAAGAATCTTGGTTTTTGAGCTATTTCTTCTTCTTCTTCCTCCTCCTCCCGTTTCAGATTCATTTGAATTGTTCATTCAGATTTCTGGAGATTTCATAAATCTCACCCTATTCTTCCTTCTTCTTCAATGAAGGGGGAGGAGCATGATAATTCAGTCAATCTGCAATATGACATCACAACTCGCTTTTCTTGTCACCCTCTTGATATCTCTGCAGCTGCATTCCGCCGTGGACGGCCTCGGCTCCGCCTCCACCGTTGCCATCGCCTACGGCACCTCCACCGTCTGCGGCATCATCGCCGGGAAACAAAGCCAGACAATTCAATGCTACAGAGGAGATCAAGTTATCTCCATTCTACCCAATGTCTCTTTTGAGGCTATCTCCGGTGGGCAGAGCTTCTTCTGCGGTCTTCGGACTGGTGGGTTCGGCCTCCATTGCTGGGAGACCGACGACGGATTCTCAACTTCCAGCTTCCAACCTAAACGTCTCTTCTACAGCACCGCCGTGCCATTGACTGATCTCGCAGTCGGCGACAGTCAAGTTTGTGCAAGAGAGGTAAGCTCCGGCAGAGGCAGATGCTGGAGGGGAACAGACAGAATTGGGTCTTTATTTTCTTCCCCTGAGGTAGGATTGGAGTTCCAGACGATCACATCTGGAAGTGGGTTTTCATGTGGAATTCTGAAGCAGAACAGAACCGTAATGTGTTGGGGGAGCAATGGCATTGGATCGAAGATTCAATCACAGTTCAGAAATCTGCCAATGGCGAGCTTGGTCGCCGGAGAGTCGCATGTCTGCGGGTTGACTGCGGTGGCCGGAGTTTTAGTCTGCAAAGGAAACAATAACGCCGGCCAATTGGACGTTCCTTCCAATTCAGCTCATGAATATTCAGACCTCGCATTGGGGGGGAGCTTCACTTGTGCAATAAGGCAAAAGAATGGGGTGATTTCATGTTGGGGTGGAGGAGCACAGGAACTCAACATTGAAAATGAAAACAACATCAATTTCAAAGCTTCATTCGAGCTAATCACAGCAGGATCAGACATCTTATGTGGGTTGAAGACAAGTAATTTGACAATAATGTGCTGGTCCAAGGGCAACAGAAACTCACCGATTGTTCTTCCATTGGGGATGATAATCCCCGGCCCCTGCGTTCAAGATCCTTGCAGCCTCTGCGGCATCTATCCGAATTCAGCATTTCTCTGTGATGGGTCTGGAAATATTTGCAAATCTTGCCAGAGAGAGCTCCCAGTTGCAGTGCCATTGCCAAAGAATCCATTAACCCCAGCTTCTTCTTCACCTTCAAAACCTAGAAACAGGCTCTCCCTGGCATTTCTCGTAGTTGGAGCAATTGGGGCTTTTGCCGGTATTTGCACCATTTTGTTCTGCCTATCGAGTTGCTTATCCTTGCATTCTTCTTGCAACACAGGAAACAATCCAGAACCCAACACAAACCCAGTAGCCCACATGGAAACTTCTTCCGTTCGGTCATTTTCTCTTTCAGAGCTTGTTGCTGCTACGAACAACTTCTCATGTGAAAGCAAGATTGGAGCAGGGAGCTACGGCGTGGTTTATAGAGGTGAACTCTCAGATGGCAGTGAGGTAGCTATCAAAAGAGGAGGAAACAACAAGAAAACAGAAAATCTTGAAGAGAAAGAGAGCGCGTTTGGGTCAGAATTAGCAACGCTATCGCGGCTTAATCACAAACACCTGGTGGGCATAGTGGGTTTCTGCCAAGAAAACGACGAGAGGCTTCTGGTTTACGAATTCATGCGAAACGGTTCCCTCCACGACCATTTACACAATAAAGATTACGCCGAACAAGGAGACGAATTATTGTTGAATACATGGAAAACGAGGATCAAAATTGCATTGGACGCAGCCAGAGGAATCGAGTACCTTCACAATTACGCAGTCCCGCCGATAATCCACCGAGACATCAAGTCCTCAAACATACTACTGGACGAGAATTTCACAGCCAGAGTGTCCGATTTCGGCTTCTCCTTGAAGCGGCAGCCGGAAATTGCAACGGAAACCGCCGTCGGGGGCACGATCGGGTACATCGATCCGGAATACTACGTCTCGAGGATTTCGACGGGGAAGAGCGATGTGTACGGGCTAGGGATTGTTCTGCTGGAGCTTCTGACGGGGAAGAAAGCTGTGTTCAGAGATAGCGGCGGCGGAGAACCGGTGACGGTGGCGGAATATGCGGCGGCGCGAATTGGGGACGGGGAGTTGTGGAATGTGGTGGACAAGAGGGTCAGGGCGGCGGAGATGGAGGAAGTGGAGGCGGTGGAGCTGGTGGCGTACACGGCGATGCATTGTGTGAACTTGGAGGGAGAAGAGAGGCCGAATATTGGCGACATTGTTGGAAATCTGGAGAAAGCTCTTGCTCTCTGTAATGGCGGATCCTGTGGACATTGCTAACGGAAAATTCACCCAAATGAGTCCACAATTCTTTTTTTTTTTTTCACCTAAATTTAAAGGCTTAAATGAGATACGAGAAATTGGATGACATGGCCTAAATTTTCGTGCAGATATGTTCATTCTTTGAAATTTTTATTATTTTAACCTTCTGTACGATGAAATAAACTTCTTTATTTTTTGTTTTGGTTCATTTTAGTATTTGTATTTTGAAAATGTATTCTTAGTTTATTTTAGTTTCTGTATTTGAAAAATGTTCATTTTGATTCCTGTATATTATTTTAATTTTGCTTTTGCAAAATTTTAACATAAAATTTATACATAATTGAAACTATTTAATATAAAGTAATATTTTAAGAAATATATTGATTGTAATGTGATATTGGAATTGTGATAGAAAAATAAGATTTAAAATAAAATAAAAAGACTAACATGATCTCATTTTAAAGGTTCATGGATCAAAATTAATATTTTTAAAATAGAAGGATTAAAATAAACAACTAACATTTTAACCAATAAAGTATAATTTTACTCTCTTTTTTTTTTCACTTACTTTTCTTCTTCGTCTTCTTCGTTACTTACAAATTGGATTTCATCTTTCGCTTTTACTATTTTTTCTCCCTGTTTTAAAATCAAAATTTGATTTTTCGTTTACTATTTTTTCCTTTTCTCTTGTGATTCTGAAAATTAAAATCTTCCGTTGATTTTTCTTTTTCTTTTTCTTTTTTTTTATGCACCCAGTATTTGAGTGAACTAGAAAATATCAATAATTATTTAACTTCTATATTAAAACTTGACCTGCAATTTCCCATATACAGAATAATAATAGTAGGAATCGAGATGATTTATTTTTTAAAAAATTAAAATAAAGTAAAATAAAGGAGGTGGCATTTTCCTTTCATTTTTATTTACTATTTTATATATATAAATTCCATTTTAGAAGTATTTATTAATTTCTGTCATTCAAATTCAAATCGCATGAGGAGCTTCACATGCTTGAATTTCTCCCCCTTCCGACTGTACAATGGAACTGATCGGATTCCAGATCGGAGCTCCGTCACCGGCAGACATGTTTGGCCGGCAAAGTCATCTTTTCCAGAGGTATCGTAATCTCGAACCACAACATTTAGCAAAGCTAATTCAGGAGCGCTTATTGAGAAACAAAACTCTTCGTTCCACACAGGTATCCACTCGTCTTCAATCGCACTCGTCTTTCTCGTCTCAGTGTCTTTTCGGACTCCGACGATTCCAACCTGAAATCGGTAATCAAATGTTGATTTCGCAGTATCTATCTATATGCCGTTTCTCGAATGTTGATTCCTAGAATCCACTTGTGCTTCTTACCTTAACGTATAAGTCTGGAGGTGAATAGAAATCGAAATGTGAGAGACCGAATTCCAGATGCCATCCTTCTCCCATGTATACCTTTACCTGTTTCGCAATTCGAAATTGAACGAATCGTGACTGTTTGTTTGACATTGAACTTAACATCTTGTTCCTTTGTTTTGGGGGAAATTAATCAAATGATCAGTGTATGAGTGTAATGACCTTTAAACGGCTTATTATAGCCGAAGATGTTGATTCCGAGTAAGAAGCCGGATCATCTAGGTTCTTCAACAAGACATCGGGTTTTTTAATGTAGCCACAACCACCATTGCCTCTGAACATTCCTTCCATGATCCACAAGTATTTCCCATATCCCTTCAATGTATACAAATGATTAGTAGATGCTAGTATTTCTTTGATTTTAATCCAAAAAAGTTCTTAAATTTGCTGCAGGCTCTGTTTCTCCCCAAATTATTTAAACAAAACTTAGTTGCTGACCAAGTCTACTTGTGACCAGTGAAATCTGGTCTTGTGAACCAAATTCTTTAGATTCTAGTTTTCCGGCCTCTGTCATATGGAATTTGACTTGAGTCAGCAGTCTAAGTTTTGTTCACATGTATAGCTTAGCCACAAAAATATAGAAAGTGAATCTGAACTCTAACCTGCATGTTAAAAGCAACCATTTGAGCCCCATGGGTCCATCCAAGCATAGGATTGTAATTAGATGAGTCTAATCTTAAACCTTTTGGGTACACTCTCAGCAAATTCCTCCGAGTAAACCTAAGGCAAAGTTTTATTGAATTTCTCGTAAAAAACATAGAAATACTGATTCTGCATTTGTGACGTTGGTATGGTTATCCGTTATGTCATTCATGTAAATGAGTACTAAATAAAAAGAACCACAGATTTATTTCAACAATGTTTTCCTTTCTTGTTCTCTATTATCTTTTAAACATAATTCAAAGATGTCTGGTTCATTTTTTTTTTCTTTTCTCTTATCCCAATTGAAAAGCTATATAAAAAGTTTGAACGATATTTTCTACATTTAGGCACCAATTTGAGAATGTCTCGTTCTTGGCAAGGTGAAATTAGAGCAAAAACTAATATCAAATACGCTTATTAGAAACTACTATATAATAAAAAGATTTATCTTCATTCGTTTTTTCTATGAATAAGTTTGCGGCCTAGATGTGTTAGGAAAATGTAAAATTGAAATAGTTTTACCTGATAATATCGCGTCCATGCTTTCTTATAGCATTTTCAAGTTCTTGCTCGCTCAGACTAAGTCTTGAAACTTTTTCTATATCATTAAATAATGCTTTGAGGCTTGATCCGCTTTTCATTTTCCCTGCATGAATGGCAATCAAACTCCTATATTCTGGAACAGCATTGTTCTCATCTTTATCCTCCTCCTCCTCCTCCTCCAGATGATCCTGCAAATTAGAATGGCAACAGGAAATGAAAATAGCTCACTTTCTGCATCAATAATTCTACATCACATCCACCGTGGAAAGCAATTCAGAAGATGAGGTGATTATCAAAGTTTGAATCTTTCAGGTTTGTCTAAACATTCTAGATTTTATTACTTCATTACTAGTTTTTCTTGTTTTCATGGAAAATAATGAAAAGAATACATAAAATATGATGTGCACCTCATCCATATCTTGTTGTTGTTGTACGCTCTCCCAAATGTCATCATCTGCTGTGTCTCTTTGCTTATCTGCTGATGGTTTTTCCTTGATGCTCTCACCTTTAGTGTGCTCTGGTGGTTTCGTAGAAATTAGAATCCTTCTCCTTAGCGATTCTGGCGAGGGGAATCCATTTAAGTACTCAGATCTAGGGACGTAAAGCATATCCCCAAATGTTGCAGTAACCATCTACACATAATAACAAAGGTAAAAGAAAATCAATGGCAAATATAGGAAATGGGAAGTGTAAGATTTCTTTTGATAATTGTTTAATGTTTTAATTCTAATTTTTCCGTTCCATAACATTTTATTTTTGATTTTTTGTTAATTAAGCTTTTATTTGTTTATGTTTTCACTTTCTAAAGATAGTAGTTTAAAATTTTTTTATTAAATATTATAAAAAAAACTGGAAAAATCAGGATTTCACCCTCATTTTTTTCTTACTTTCGAAACCTTAGTCAAATTTGGAAAACCAAAACTTGATTTTAGAAACTACCTTTTTTTTTATATATCTTTTTGGTTATGATTTTAAAACCATTTTTTAAAATTATATTAGGAAAAAAAAAGTAAATACGCATGATTTTTAAAAACACAAAACCGAATACAAAAACTTTTTCAAACTTGATGTAGAACATAAAACAAAGAATTAATGAAGACTGTAAGCTCTATTGCTCACCCTGGCCACTTCTTTTCGAAGATCTGGGGTGAGATGATCTTCAAAAGTTATCACCAACGGATACTCAGAAGCTGTAAAAGCATGATCTTTGATGGCACGCAGACATTTGATGAGTTTCACAGGAGCTGTGAGTGTCCTACAGCTCCATAGGTATTCAATTAGTTAGTGCAAGCCTCTTGAGACAATTTTTTTTTATCAGAAGGAAATAGATCTAGAGTGTATCAAGAAGTTCTTATTAGAGTAGTGTTTTTAAGGGGATCACTTTTCGTACTACAACTTTCGGGAAAACCACTAATATATGTTTTTTAAAGCAAAAAATTAAAACCAAACAGATAGTGAAACATAAATGGAAGAAAACGATGCATTGCAGGATGATCGTGAAAAATAATTTTCTAGGGTTTAATTTATAAATTTAATTTTAAACTTTTATTGTGTGCAAACTTTAGGTCATACCCTCCATGAAGAACATCAATGTCATTTTTCTTGGAATTAGGCCACAAATCCAACTCAATTGCTCTTACTCCTCTATTTAGAGCCCTTATGATAGGAGTCACACTGCTATCACTACTCAGTTGATTTCCTGTTAAGTAGGAGTTGTGGCCTGTAAATATGTAATAGTGAGATAATGGTGCTCCCATATCCTGATAAACCTGCACCCAGTTCCCAACTTATAATCAATAATATTATAGCTTCTTTCACAATTTTATTTTAAATCTTCTCTGTGAAAAATGAATTGAAAGTCAATTAATATTAGTGTTAGTTTATACTTCTTTTGTTAAATTATATCTCAGGTCCATAAATGTTCACACTTATTTTGGACTCTAATTCTTAGAAATGTTTTATTTGGTCGGTAGACTTTTGTAAAATTTATCTTAATTCTTATCAATAACTTTTATATTGTATTTTTTATTAGTTCAACAATATAGGGTAGAAACTTGAACTTCTAACTTTTAAGACCGATATATAATACCTTAACCAATTAAAGTTGACATAATGTAAGTTTATGTTATCTAGATAAGATTTTTGTCAGATACTCTATAAAATCTTAATAACAAAGATTTAAATTATTTTTAGTATAAAACTAAAACATAATCAGCTATTTAAGTACTTGCAAGAATAAAACAAAATTTGAACCATTTTTTTTTTTTTAAAAGGAAGATATAACAAGCATTCCTAATTTATGCAAAATCAATATTAGCTTCTATACTAGGTAAAACGACATATGTCAAAATAGTGAGCTGTTCTTACAAAAGTGTAAAGATTCGATTTTTTGTTAGTAATTTGAGTAGTCTAGTGTATTGTCGACGCCCTTTGCTCTTTAGCCTATTCTATTATAATAATGCTATTATTAAGAAAATGGTTTCGGTTAAAACAAATTAGATAGGACATAACTGAGAAACATAAAAACAGAAAATAATTGTCACCATGATATACATTAAAAAAATATCATGATCTAGAATATGAATTTGTCCTTAAATATTGTCAAGTAGGAGAAATAGTTCATGCTAAAGTTAAAAAATATTTGTCAGTTATTTGTCCAATGAAAATAGGAAACTGACGTTGATGAAACAAGAGGTTGAAATATCAGTACTCTTTTTTTTTTTTTTTGATATCTGTTGAAATATCAGTACTTGATCGCACTAGGGAGGGAAAAATGTAAATTTATCCAAAGAAACAACTACTTTGTTTGATAAATTTTTCAAACAAGATTTATTTTTCTTTTGTTGAAAAATAGATAGTTTTCAAAATATTAATATCCATATTGGACTCACTATTTAACTGATTTTTTATTTTTAAAAATATGAGACTCTGAATGATGCTCTAGTTTTAAGGATGGAGTGGCATTGCACATATTGTAGATTGGTCAGAAAGTAAAGAGAAGAAAGATAGATAACCCCTTGGGAGGGCGAGAAAGCAAGGTTAAGGTCTCCAAAAAGATATCTGAAGAAATCTTCGAGACGAAGGCCTCTTCTCTGAAAGATGCCGAGGTGCTTGAGATTGTTGAAGATGGCCTGAGCTTTTGTGTCAGATGATTCTCCTTGAATCTCTTCCAAAAACCTCTGCAAGTGATCAATGTTCATTATGCCATTTTCTGAGTATTTACGAAACATCATCTCCACATCTTCTGGAGCTTCTGCTACATTTGTCCTGAACCTTCTCCTGAAACAGAAGCAGACCCTGAAACTTTGCTTATACATTCTTTACAATGACACGGGCAGAGGCAGACACCAGATTTGCACTTTCTGTGTGTCGTTTTCTTCTGTTTATCCTGTTTGTCATATATGCATCGGATGGATGGGGCTTCTATTTCACTCCCTAAAGAATGACGTCCAGCCAAAGTTGGAATCTGTGCACAAGGCAAGAAGTTCCTTTCTTAGCACAGAAAATGTGGAACTCGCAAGAAGTTGCTTTTACTCTAAGAAAGGGAACTGTGATTCCAGATTCGGAAACCTGGTTTAGATTGTTGGAATAGGCTGTTAGGTCGAATTTTGGACGTCTGATGGAACCGTCTAAATCCTAAATGTAGGTATGGTTTGAGCTTTTAGAGGGTCTGATTCTTTCATCTTTTAATTTTAATTTTTTACTTTAAGAGTCTGATTCTTTACAGCTATCTCTTAGCCCAGCCATTCAGTAAAGTCATTCGAACAACTTCATTCATCAAAAAGAAAAAATGTCAATGAAATGCACGATCTTGTTCATAGATCCATTTATTCTCCTTGCTCTATTTTGCTTTACAAGAATAATCACTCTCTTTAGACAGAAGGAATCTGATTTTTTTTAGTATTACAGTTGGCATCAAAGGAAAAGGAAAAAGTAGAGAGAGAAAAGTGGAAGACCCATATTCGATGCTTCATTCCTACCCTATGAAAATGTAAGAATCCAACTCATTCTAGTCAAAGAACAACAATAATCTCCAGCACGGACAGATGGCTGACAGGAAAAATTCACTCCTCTGAGATGTTGCCAAAGGAAAAGAAATCATATCCTCAGGAAAACTCAAAACGCATTAGAAGCTTTACAGAACTGTACTTCGATCCTTTGCGGTCAAAAAGAGGAACAGCATGGATGCCTGGCCTCACTTCAGGAACGGGCAGACAGTTCTGTCCTCCAAAAACATCCTTATCCGAAATGTTGTAACTATACACTTCGATTCGAAGTAACGCCAGTTCAGGAACAGTCAAAGGAAATGTGAACTCTTCGTTCCAAACAGGGCTCCAAGTCTCCTCTATGATCCTTGTTTTCTTTATTATCTCATCAGCTGGAGCTCCTGCAATTCCAACCTGCGTATGGCTAACACGGTCGGTATGCAATTCTAGCAGTTTGCATGGAATAATCTCTTGGTACTGATATCAATTAAGCTATGGAGTTGGCTTAGCTAGATTGCCATTCATTTAAAACTTACCCGTGTATAGAAGTCGGGAGGGGAGTATAAATGAAAGTGGGTGTTATCAAAATCCAAATTCCAGCCAACACCCATGTAGACTTTCACCTGTCATTTGCAAGACAATGTTTTTGAGAGCAGGTCCAGCGGAACATGCTACAAGATCTAGTTTGTTTTGCAAACGCTACCTTCAAAGTTCTTTTAACTGGCAGGATTGCATTAGGATCAAACACCTTGCTATCGGGATCAACCGTCAGTAGAAAGTCGGGCTTTTTCACATAACCACAACCTCCGTTGGATCGGAACATGCCACGCATTAAGCTGAGAGATTTTCCGTGTCCCTGCAATAGCTCAATTGAATTTATGTTTCAGAAGAAAAGGCCAGCGTTGTTATTTGATCCCAGATTTGTGTCAAAAGGAAAAGAATAAACCTGCATGTTGAAAGCAACCATCTGTGCCCCGTGTAACCAAGCATTCTGTGGCTTGTAGTTGGAAGAATTTACTCGAGTTCCCTTCGGATATATCCTTAAGATGTTCTTCTGGGTGAATCTAGAAGCAAGAACAGAGCAAGCTTGGTGTCAGTTTGGAAAATCATTGTAAAAAGTAAGTGAGTACGAGGAAAATGAAGCTCTCAATTTCATTTCTTGCTGGAGTAAATTGAGGTGTTATGTTACCTAATGACTTCCATGCCATGAAATTTAGTTGCCTTTTTGAGTGCTTTTTCACTCAAGCTAAGGCGTCTAACCTTATCAGCTCCAACTTTCAGAGCTTCCTTCAAACCTCCCTTTGGTTTTCCAGCATGAATGGCAATTAGGCGTTTGTATTCTGATACACCCGTGGCGTAAGATTCGTAATCACTGTCATCACTCTCGCTGGACTCACTCTCACTCTGCAACCCAATGGAGTTGTGTACTTCATCAAGAGACTGGAACCAGAAAATCACTAGAAAAACACAGCTAAAATGTGGTAAATTTCAACGCAAAGCAGACCGTATCATCGCCATCTTCTTCTTCATCAGTCTCGTCATCATCAGTGAAAGAACTCTCCCCTTTCACATTTTTGGACCTGAGGTATTCTTTAGGAGGTTTTGTCGAAATAATGATCCGATACTTCAATTCATCAGGCGAAGGGAATTCTTGTTGATATTCCGATTCAGGAACGAACAGCATGTCCCCAAATGTTTCCTTTATGTTCTACAAACAAACACAAGCATAGTTTGAACAAAACTACTTCTCTTCGTATACTGTAACGAAATGGAGGGGTAAAAAAGAAGATACCTCAGCTGCTTTAGCTTGAAGATCAGGAGTTAAGTGGTCTTCTAGAGTAATTATTACAGGATATGGAGATGCTAAGAAAGCATTCTCTTTAATTGATTTCAGACATCTAACAAATTCCACAGGTGTTGTCAAGGTCCTACATGGAAAAAGGAACTTCAGAAAGTTCATTCAATACACAAAACAGTTGGATTGTGGAACTCTCTCACCTTCCATGAAGAACATCTATGTCATCTTCCTCAGAGTTGGGCCACAAATCAAGCTCGACGACTCGCACGCCGCTCTTCAGCGCATTGATAATCGGCACATCGCTGGAATCACTGCTCAATTGGTTCCCAGTCAGGTACGTATTGTGGCTAGTGTAAACGTAATAGTGGGACAATGGAGCTCTCATATCCTGATGGACCTGAAAGTGATGAACACTAGCACATACATCTAAGAACTTGAGGCAGAATTCAAGCTGAGATTTCATTTCAGGAATTGTTGGGAATTTGAAGTTACCTGATCGGAAATTGGGGGATTGAGATCCACAGAGAAGAGGAAGTAGTAGAAATCGTCAAGAGTGAGAGTGTGCTTGGTGAGCTTGGACACGACGTGGTGGCGCCGGTGCAGGACTTGGTCGATGATCCGGTGAGCGTCGGCGAGCGAGGGCGCGGGATCGCCCTGAAAGTCGAGGAGAAAGGAGCGGAGCTGGTCGGCGGTCATGGTGGCGGCGGCGCCGGCGTAGTTGAGGAAGGCTTCCTTGACGTCGGAGGGGGGCTCGTCCTTGGACATCTTGAACCTTCTGATGAAGCAGAGACAGACCCTGTAATTTCCCATGGAGTGGAGATTGAGAGAGATGGGAAAAAAGGGTTGATTTGGATTTGGAATTGGAATTGGATCCGTTTGGAAAATGGGTTTATACAATAATTACAGGGAGAAGAAGGGACCAAAATGGTGGTCTTCATTTTCTGAACAACTCAGCCGGGGAAAGCAGCCATGGATGAGATCAATAGTTTACTTTTTTTCTTCAATATTCCTTCTTCCAAAAGGGACGATTGGGCTGCTTTCTCTCTCTCTCTCTCTCTCTCTCTCTCTCTCTCTCTTTTCTGTTGCCTCTCTCACATCAGATTCATACACTTTGTTCCCTCTCTCGGACTCCACCGTATGAATTCCTCTCTTATTATTTTGAGTTTTTCTTTTTTTTTTTCTGCCTTCAAAATGTTATTAATTATTTTCTTTTTTATCTTTTTTTGAAGGTTTAAATATTATGCTAAAATATTGTTTTTGTAATTATACTTTTTATTTTGGTTCATTTTGTTTCATACACGAAAACCTTTCATATAAAGTCATGGTTACATCGTAAGAAATATATTGAATAATGTAGTATCGTGTTCAAATTATGATAGAAAAATGAGATTAAAAAGGAAATTAAGAGACTAAAATTGTCACATTTTAAAATTATAGATATGAAAACGAACCTTTAGAAAGTATAGGGACTAAAATAAAGGGTTGAAAGTACACAAACTAAAATATTCTTTGATTCATTTTAGTTACCGTACTTGTACATGTACTGAAATATTTTTTTTTTATTTTAGTCCATGTACTTTTAAATGTCTACTTTGATTTTTGTACTTTAAACTTTTATTAATTTTAGTCCATGTACCTTGAAACGTTCATTTTGGGTATTGGATTTTTTTAATGACTATTTTACTCCATTCATTTTCATTTTTATCTTATTTCTTTCTATCAAAATTTTATCGTGACACTTTACTCACTAAATTTCTCGAAATATAGCTACAAATTTGTGTTAAAGGATTTTTATTTGGATATAAAATTTGTTTTACAATTTTACAAATAAGGATTAAAATAGTCACTTTCAAACATATAGGGATCAAAATTGACTTTATAAAAGTATGGAGATTAAATGAATAAAAGAACAAAAGTTGAGAGTACATCACCAAAATAAATTAAAGCCAACATATAAAGATCAAAATAGTATTTAAATTTTTTTATTATTTATATATATTTGAATATTACATAAAAGATATGTATTTCATTTTAATGCAATTAAAGCTATAGTTAATTGAATTAGAGCCATCTCTGATATAAAATTTTAGACCTCCTCTTTTTTTAGTACAACTCACAATTTTTTGATATGTTCTGAATGTATATTGAGAGAAATTAGTGACAAGGTCTAAGATGATAATTTTTTTTGTTCAAAGTTCACACACTCAAAAATTTAGGAAGAAAAAATTATCATGATCATTATTTTTTTTTAGTTTTTCAAAGACAATTTCGTAGTTTTGAATGAGCATGTGGATATTTTAAATTTTACGGGAAGAGAAATTCAAAATTGATACAAGGAAAGGGTAATAAGGTCACAGTCTATAATGTTAATTTCTCCGCGTGTTGTTCAATGTCGGTTTCAACACCAAAATCTAGTTATGGTTAGGAGAGAGAGGGAAAAAAAATTCCCTCATATCAGGTCAAGGTGAAATAGTCAATTGTTGGATCCCATTTGAAAATGCTTATATATTTTTTTTAAATAATAAAAATATCCAGTTATATTTTAAGTGGAGATTTTTCTTCCGACAACGGTACTCCATGTATCTATCTCCACCTGTCTCCACCTGGGAGTCTCCTCTTATATGATCCACTGACATGACTAAGTCTAGGACGGACATGCAATACAACATGTCCGCTTTGGTTAAAGGAAACGATACCTAAATATATCTACAAATATTATTCGCTTTAGACATAAGCATCACAACTTTACTTTGGTTTCATTCAAAAGATCTCATATCAATGAAAATGTTCTCTCGTACTTATATAGTTATATATTCATAATCATCTCTTTATTTAGTCCATGTGGATTCTTTGGTCGTGTTTCCACATATATATATATATATATATATATATATATATTTATTTATTTATTTATTGATATTACTCTTTATTTATGTTTAAGGATAAAAAAAAATTGTTGCGTCTAGATTATTTTATTAGGATAGGAAGAGAGAAAAAAATCTTGTGAAGCCAATTTTAATAGACAAAGGGAGGTAAGTCAAAAAGAAAATTTTAAACCTTTTTATTTATAAGCGTTTTGAATATCTCTGAAAAATAGTGTTTGAAGACATCGATGGAAATGTTGAGGTCTCATTTCATAGAAATATCGATAAAATGTCGATGTTGATAGGCGTTTTTGTAAAAGTCAGAGAAATTAAAAATCATAAAAAATATTTAAATTAACAAATAAATATTTTTCAATTTTTATATAAATTAAAAATGTTTAATATTAGAATTATATATATCTTAGTGACATTTTTTTTTTATATTTTTTTATATTTTATTGAATTTTTTAAACACGATGTTGAACTCACATATATATAAAAATGTCGACAAAATGTCGACAAACATGTCAATGTGTCGACGAATATTTAACATGTAATTTTGAAAAAAGAAAGAATTTTTTTTTTCTTTTAGCAATAATATGAATTATCATGATAGGGACAACTCCCTTTATTCGTACTACAATCACATGCAAATATGGGGTCATTATTCGAATCAAACGATTTCCATCTTCTATTTCACTGTGCATTTTCTCGTTTAGAATTTATATTAAGTCGTATCATTATTTGATGAATTATTTTATTTTATGAATTTTGTACTGATTTTTAAAAAAATGAGAATAGAAGTACGAAAGGATTTTTTAGTCAATCTGATTGTTCATTTTCGTTCCTCAAAATTAAGTACTAAATTTGCACTCGGTACTAATAATTGCAAGTTAACTTCAAGATTGTTTAGTTGTTAAAACATCGATACATAACTTAGAAGTTGTAAGTTCTTACCTCTCCGCCTCCTTTGGGCTATAACATTCTAAGAAAAAAATGTTAAATTATAAATTTTGGACTATTTTAACTTTTTAATAGGTCTCTAGAATTTCATGGTTCTATATATTTAGTTCTCTGTAAAAGTTTTAAATAAGCTTTTAAGGACTTGTTTGGTAAGGTTCTCATTTTTTTTTGTTTTTTTTTTCAATAAAGAAAAAAATATAACTGCATTTAGGTAACTATTTCTTGTTATTTATAAGTCAACAATTGATGAAATAATACATGTTTCAATTATCGCTGAGCTAAGCTCATGTCGGCGGTACATAAATTGAATGAAAAAAAATACCCATTTACAAATTATTATATGTCATATAAAATGGAGAAGATTTGAACTCACCATCTATAAAAAAAAATATCGATATCTGACCACTTGAGTTATGGTCGTTCCAACAATAAAAGAAAATACTTGATTTATTTTTTAATTTTAATTTATTTTTTGTTTTTAGCTCAACAACATATGGGATGTGGATTCGAACGGCTATATTTTGATTGAGGGTTATACTCGTTGAGTTATGTTAAAGTTGCTACTTAATTTCTTATATGTTTTGTTTCAGTATTTCATTTAATACGCTTTTGATATTTATTAAGTATGATTTAATAAACCTAAACAATTTTTTCATTTATATAAATTTGTTTAGCTTTCTTTCTTATTCTAATAATTTTGTTAACTAGAAAATATTTAGCAATTTAATATCTAAATTAATTAATTTAAGGAATTCAYCCCCCAAAGAATAAAGTGATTCGGAGTTCACCAACCAAACAAAGAGGGAAAAGAAAAAGTGTGTAAAGTGCAAAACCAAATTAAATATTATAAACACGTTGGAAAAGAATTTTAAATAAAAATCATAAAGTTACGAGTGACCTCAAGACAAGATACCATCTTTATCATAAAGAAAATGAGATATTTTGAAGTGCATAATGTTTTATATTTAGGTTGGAATAAAGTTTAAAATAAATATTGGAAAGTGAATATGAACTCTAACTTAGTGYGGTAATTGGCACATATCTTCGATCAAGAGACCAAAAGTTCGAATCCTCTGACCTCCACTTGTTTTACTAAAAAAAATTGAAAAAAAGATTAATATATACTCTCAAACTTTCATCCATTAAATTCGTACCAATTAATGCATAATTCTTAYACTCTGTAAAAAACCAAACAGAATGCGTGTAGTGGGAGGCGAATGCCACTAGTACGGCAGGCACGCCTCATAGCTGCAGGCGACAGGCTYTGATCTGCAGGAGGAGGTGTCGCCCCGCRCTGTCGGGAGCACACCCCTTGATGCTCCCTATACAGCATGACACGTCTCTGCCACCCCTAATCGTCGTCCTTTCTGGTCGGCTGCCCGAGGCTATTAAAGGAACGACCCTCATCGTCACCAAGAGGGTGAAATATCTGTCACTCRCATATTTGGTGTCTTTTTTCCTATTTCCATTCCGATTACTAACTTGATCGTCAGAGTCTCTTAGACGGGACACTGCACCGGTGTCGAGTTCTTTTGGTTTCAGGTTTCCTTGTTCTCTGATCGGATCTCTCATTCGAGGGACACGTGGCCTACGACCAGAATTCGCCATCAACACAATTGTTAGTTTTTTTTAGTACGATACAGTTATTAGTTAATGTTTAGGACTTTAATCATTTTAAAAAGATTTAAAGTTAAATATATAATTTTGTCAATAGTCTTTCTATAATTTTTCAACTTTATCTCTAATTTTTTTGGTATGTTAAAGTCTTTTTCAATCAAATTCTTATCGTCATGCTTAAAATTCACTGACAAAGTGATGTTTTGACTTTACAATATATTTTATTATTAGAGTGGAAATAATTATTACCTCATGTTTTAATTTAATGACTTGAAATTCCCATTTATAAAAATAAAAACTAATTCACTTCACAACTTATAATAACTAATTACTAACCCACCAAATGTTGCTGTTTAGAAATTTCATCCATTAAAATGCTATTATGCTAACAAATGTCAGGCTTAATTATTAAAATATATTGACAGATTGAAAAAACTTTATACATAAAGAATTTTTTTTATAAAAAAATTAGGAATGAAATTAAAAATTAACATATGCATTATAATTTAGACTTATATATATATATATATATTAAGTAAACTTAATGTGAAAAAAAAAAGAAGAAAAGTATACTTAATGTCTGCAATTATTACTCATTCATCAGTAATTTGCTTAACTTAGAGAACAAGAAAAATCAATAATATCCATTACTAATAAGTAAAATGAAAATTATTCAGAAAGAAATAATAAAAAAAAAACTTATAG